CCTAATACTTTTGTCCAGTCCTCCTTGGATGAAAGAATTGCCAAAGCAAAGCAGGGTCTGGAAGAAGCAGAGATTCTTCCTCTTGCTCTACAAATCTTGTTCTGATCCCTAAAAGGACTGCTGTTAAGGGTCTTGTTCTCATTGGTAACCAGAATTGTCTGTTGAGTGATTAAATAATTAGTTAATTAATGTAAAGAACTAAAAATAGTGCAATTGTGCTCTTTGTCCTAAGCCCAGAGTTCAGTTTCTGAAACCCTTTGAAACTATTTGTATTTTCGATTGAAAAATGTTAAGGTTATATGGGGAAATAAGGTTAAGGAGAAATAGTTTTCTTTTAAGAAAGCTTTTTATGAATATTTGTATTAATATTTTTGTATTTTTCAAAGTAAAACAAAAACAGATACTATCTACTATGACTTTTTTTTCATCTTAAGTTGGTAAAAACAGGAATTGTCACATTGACTTCCATCTATCATTCCTTACTCAAGAGAAATTTTTTTAAGCTATCCTTTAGTAAAATGTCCATAAATTGACTTAATTTTGCTGCACACTATATACAATGGCATGAGTCTCTCTATTCTCTATAAAGAACGTTGCTGCCTTTTCTTTAAGTCAACGCAATTGTAACTTCCAGCCCACATAACCACCAAGCTATAGGAAATTCCATCTCAGTCATTGCTGGGCTGTCTCCTTTCAAGTTCACACCAGATCACAGAGATTTACATGATGCTAAGAAAATGGAGGAGGGGCCTTTGATTTCCCATCTCTAAGCATCACCAGTGGCAATGACATCAGCTAAGCTTTCAGCGATTCTTTGAACCTTGGTTATTCTTTGCTGCCTCCCTGACTATCCTGGGACAAAGTTGTGAATGAAAAAATACTGCAAACCATATCAGTAAACAAAGAATGCTGAAGCCATCAAGTCACCCCTCAGTGAAGACAAGCCTGTATCCCAGCCTCGGCAGCCACTCACAATGGTGCACCCTGAGGGGACTCAGAATAAGAAAGGGCAGGGTAATGGCCCTAGATAGCTAGGTGCTTGTCAAAGGAATGAATTCAGTGAGCCCAAATGTTTGCTTCCTCCCATACATAGAAAAGCCTAAATTCTTTAATTTGAGATTCCTGGTTTTCTTTAGATAACAAGCAATCTTTTATTGTTCCCACTACCTGGTCTTTGTTGTAAAGCTCCTATATATCCTGGCTCCTCCCCTACCTCTTTGGAGCAGTCTCTCAGAGTGATCTGAATGGTTGTCATCCCAGCTTGAGTCCTCCCACCAAATAAAAATAATTCTCAACTTTTAGGCTGTGCATTGATTTCAGTCAACACAGTGTTCGTTGACAAGAACTGAGTAGAAGCCAGCTAATGACCCAGACTCTTATGCATCAGGGAGATGCAGGGAGATGCAGGATTCCCT